GTTCGATTAAAATGTTCGACAACGACAAGAAAGCTAATTTCCCTAACTTATATCTTTTCAGCTGGATACAATCTTCCTAGCAAATATAGGATCGTTTCAAGCAGTTAAAGGCAAGCGACAGTTTGAATCGGCACGCCTAGCACGGAAGGATACTGAGACCCTTGGCGCACGCTGCGCGGTGCTTTTTCCAACGGAGAGCGCTTTTATAACGCCTACCAATGTGCAACATGCCGACCCAGACGCACACTGCAACTGCCCGCTACAAATGGACGTGCAGTCTCATCGGCGCCGATATCTTTATGACTTCTTTGATCAAGTACAACTGATATGAAGCATTGCTTTATGGGTATATAAATATATGCGTGCGCCGTAACTATCGAAGAGGTTGCTGGCACGATGAAAACGAGAAACTCGTCCGAAAATGCTCGTCCAATGCCGGCAGAACAGAAAATTTTTCGCCGGTTTTTGGCCGTTTGACTCCACTCTTTCGTCATTTTTCCCACTATATAACACCCCGCTACTATTTCTGTGCAATTAATAAATTCTCGTGCCTCATGCCTTTGAGTATTTTTCATGGCGTTTCGGGCGTATATTTCGCCTTAAAGTGTAAACAAATTGTCGCGCACTGGCAAGTGGCGTAGATGATTACGTGGAAATGTAGTAGTAAAGCATCCCCAAACTATTGAAATTAATTCTAAATAAATGTAGAGAAGGACCCCGCCTCTCCTATTAATGTGCCACTAAGCACACTACTGGCGGGATCCATTAGTCTCGCAAATGGGAAGTTCAAAAGAAAACACTTCTGTATCAGTTTTTCAAGTCAATCTCGTGTATCCCCCCTCCGAGTAGGAGCTCCGCCTTTACAGTAGTCTTGCCTTAGATGGAGCTCCTTCATCACAGATATCCAGATTCTTTTGGCACTAACGGGTAAGGATGAGAAGTCTTCCGACACTACCAGGGAGGGACAGGCGGAGAGTTTGATATCGTTTATTAGAAAAATAGAAGTTCTCAGAGTGAATAAAGCATACCGTCTGTCCACCCTGACTTTCCAGGATTGCAACCCATTCTTTGCGTTGTTTGTCATCTCCTTTGAATTCGATAGACCATTGGGTGGCATGTTTCTGCACTTCCTTCTTCTTTTCATCATATGGTCGAGAGAATTCCACTGCTACGATGAAGTTTATCGATGAATTGCCTTTCAGCTGTTGACTAAAAAGCGTTTATCATTGAAAAAACATCCATACAACGGGGTCGCTAAATCTTTACTCTGTACGCTACTCACATCAGTGCAACACGTGACGCCTCGGATATTCCCCATGCTACTTCAGACTCCGGACGGAAGTTAACTACCTGAAAAAAATGAACGTATATAACGACTATGCACCAATCATTCATCCTCAAGGTGGAGATGGTATAGTGGCAAGTGGCACGCCTAACACGCACGTTGTCCTGGGGTCAAATCCGGATCGGCTTCTGCCTAGGCCCACTAATCTTCTACTTCTACCAGATTAGTCTGCGAGGCTAAGAACACTGATTTCTACAATGGCTGGCCTCCACAAATCATCGAATAGGCCCCATCGCATTCAGTCGGCCACTACGGTTCTCAATGGAAGTAGACTGTGTGGCGCATCCAAAAAGCAATTAATGAACGGCGAAAACTTTATCCTTCATTCTTTACCACTCATATAGGGCAACCCACCGCACTAGCTACATAATACCCCCTGCCGCGCGCGGCAACACTACGCAACCTGCGCCCGCCGCAAAATCCGGCGCCATTCCGCCGTATCCGGACCGCTATTTCACAACACATTATGGAAGCAGAAGCTTGTATGCTTCACCATCAGTGTACCACTCGCTGTACGGTTTGCGGGAATACTGGGGAAATTCCAACAACGATTACAGAAACCTTACCAGTATATCGCTTGTTGTATACTCCTTCAAAAACGACACACTATCACGCGATCGCTTCATGGAATCGGTACTGTTCGGCGATGGGAAATACCTAAAGTCGGGAAAATTCCTTCAGAATACATAGCAATTCCATGACACAAACACAAGTACAGTTGAAAAAAAGTATAAGTAAAAATCAGTACTGTTCCTATCCGAGGCCCACGAGGGGCGTAGCGCGAGAGAGGCGAGGGTCCAGACGAAAGAATGGCAGAGACCCACGTATGAGGGGAGAGTCGGGAGTACACAGCCGCGGCAGAAACGCCCCTTGAAGCCTCCCGATATGGAAGATGAGCGTTTACTATCTTACCTTCGACTCATTGTATCCGTCAGATACTTCTGCTCGTCCGCTGTCATTGATCGTAACTCAGATCCCTGGGCTTCGATCTCGTACAGGGGCTGAAGAAACCATTTATAAAGGAAATAATGGCAATTTCGTAAAGTGAGGCAATTGGTTCGGCTTTGGGGGGCATTTTGCACTTTCACTACTTCCCGTCGTCCAGCCCAGATCAAGTGATATCCTGTAAACCCATAAACCAGAAGAAGTTTGTAGAAATTACCTGTCAACTCTTCCAAAACAATGAAAACGCGACGGGAAATGCAAAATGCCCCTCTAAGCTGAGCCGAACCGCGCTAAAAGTAGAATAAAAACCATGTGTGGCTTACCGGGTAACCCTCCAGCGACATCGTTAGTCGTACTCGGTCAGGAATCGAGATATCACCTGTAATGCGACTTTAGAACAAATCAAAACAAGGATGACCAAAGTAATCACTTACCTATTCGGTTCATCAACGAAAACGCCAGTAACGGACACCAAACGAGGAAAACTATAAGCAGAATCATTGGCAGTCCCATCATGTACTTCACGACAACACCTTTCGGTTCTCCTCTTGGTGACGGATAACTCTGAAAACGATCAGCGCTAAAGACTGAGCAATGGATAACGTCTGAAAGGCGCAGCCGGCGACGGGGGTAGCATTTTGCATTTTCGCTGCTTCTCTAGAGCCAATTCACGAGTCTTGCTTTGGTGAAATCTGTGCTCTGCTGCAGCAAGCTCGTAGAGCCGCATGTTACTGGTTTACAAAAGACAAGTTGACAGGTTAAAAGTAGCAGAAGTGAAATGCGAAAATGCTCTCCCCCCCCTATGGCCGAACCGCGCCGTTTGAAACACTGATTGCTGATTGCGGATGATCGCTAGACGTTCACCGATCCCTTCGTGATATAAAGATCAGAACCTCTCCCAGAAAACGGTTCAAAGACACTCTACGTGACTGCAAGTCGTAGGCTGTGGGTTCCAAATTTAATGCGTAAAAAGGGTAAAAAAGCTGCCATAAAATGCAGAAACAAGGAGCTCCTTTCAGCAGTTGTTTGTGAAGCATGCGAAGAAGCGAGAGAAGCAGAGACACTGGGAGCGCGGAAGAGAGACCAGAGATGAGTGGTGGGAGAGTCGAGCGAGAGAACAAGCTTTCGCCATTCATTTCAGGGTGGGGTAACAATGACGGATTATTCCCTTAGCACCACACGTGGGGAAACGGACAAGACGTCCTCATTAGTAGTGAGACCGATCCTTCTCGTCACTTCGAAGTTCACATCCAAACGACCGACGTCAGACGTCAGAGCAACTCCTCTCTCGCGTGCGCGGCGTACTGTAACTTTCTTGTCGTACCCTCCCCCTCCACTTTACTCGTGTTCTAGCCTTGGAAAAGACGCTGTTGTAGAGTGACCTATCTTGTTCAGAGAAGGGCTACTTTTGTAATGACGGATGCGAATTCGGGGAGACGGACAACACAATCATAATTTGTCGCGTCGTCGCGCGTCTTATCGTGCGGCATGCGCGGCAGGTTCTCTGAGTGTATCAGTTTGTCGGTTGGAGCAGCAACACTTATAAGAATTCAAACGGAGACAAGAGTCCGTTATAATGTTATGTTGATTTTGCCTTTTTTCCGTTTTTCTGACACAAGAACGGCCGGGCAGGGCGAATCGTTAGTCGTGCGCGACATCGCTCGCCACGCCCACCAGCGCGGCATTGCTTTGCCACATTCCCGCGTCTTCGAAGCAGCGAAGGGAAAAATGCTTCCGCCTACCTGTTCAAACTGTCGTGCACATTTCAAATTATAAATTGTAGCATAGAAATTCTCCATGTTGAAGAAATCAAATAATGGCATCGACGTATCCGTCCAGGTCCAATCAATCGCTGTGCGAAGTTCGAACAGGAATGGCACCAGCATGAATCTTAACATTTTCACCGTTACCTTCTACAAAGTTGGAAACAAAAACGTAAGGTGGTCCAGAAACTTAGAAGTACACTCACATTTTGAAGAAAATCATATTCGCCAAGCCATAGGCATGGGTAAGGAGGTTGCCTGTGCAGAGTTGCGGGTAGCCGTTACGAATTTGCCATGCCGAAACCAAGAGGTACAAACATTTCACCACGTACAACGCCTGTGCTACGGTATTCTCCATTGCAGAGCTGAAACAGAAAGGGTTTTTTAGCCTCAGAGCACGTCATGACATTGGGAAATACTGCCCATATTATGACTGTGCTTCAATATTGACCGAGTCAGGGGGAAGATATATTATATAACGTGCCCAAAACGGGAAAAATTGGAAATCCTAAAATCCTCTTCTTGTCCTATTCGCTCCGGATGCTGGGGCATGCCAGGAGGGCTGTCCTAGACTGTTCTCAACCAACTGTAGGAGAGACATTGACAAGTTTTGGAAAAGAAGCAGGCGCCGAGCCAAACCAGCCTCTTAACCACCCAAGCATCCGCAGAACGGCACTACCCCCCCCCCTCCTTCCTTTTTTTAGCTAAATGCGGCCTTCATTCCTTAGCGCTGAATAATCTCTAGCCCTCGGCTCGCTCCCATAAGTCCTTACGAGGGTCAGTTATGGCAATGCAGTCTTACTCGATGCGGATGGAGGGGCGTGAGGCTGGGTTGGACCTCTGGCCAGTTCTACACTAATTGCTGAAGCGAGTAAGCAACCGCAACTAGTGGAAAACGACTGATACGAACGACATGGTACAGTCTCGTCGCTTGCAGGACGCGCCAAACCCATCCCCTCTTGGCAAGGCTCGACATCCGCAGCGAACCAGAGTATAACTACCAAATGCATGGCCCGTGAGCTGAATAGGGTCTAGGATATCCCCTGGACCGCAATCCCTCCTTGGGCGATCCTATTCAAAACTTTTCGGCGCAGTTCGGCGTCGGGAGAGGGGCATTTTACATCTCACCTCTGATCTAGTTCCGCTTTACAGGCCTCACTCTGGTGAAACCTATAAACTGTTGTGAAGCTCAAGCGAGCTCGTTGAGCCACCATGGTAAAACCTGTCAATACCAGAAAAGGGGATGGGTCGACACGTCAATGGGAAGTAGCAAAAGTGCAGAATTGTCCCAACTTTTCTATGAACATCTTACAGTAAACGTACCGTCGAGTGAGATACGGTAATAAGAAGAAGATCCATATGTGAAGGAACACGATCATTAACAATTGGTAGGCGAGTTTTCCATAAACCCATTTACGAAGATACAAAGCGCGATCGATTACAATCATTAACGTCATGACGATCAGCATCACGACGAACGTCAGTGGAATCCGACTTGCCTGCAACAATCACATAATGGCAAATATTTCCCCGATGGTTTTCTTTTTGCAAATCAATGATGTGGCCATGGTATCTAATATCCACGTTTTGCTTCGAGAAAAAAATTGTTAGCATTGATAAAAGAAATAGCTAGGCTGCACTTCTTTCCTCTCTAGAACTAGATTTCCACGATGAAGTGGTGTTCAAACGTTGAACTACACATGCTGGAGTCATATTCCTCGATAATGTGATGGGTGGAGACAGAGAAATGTTACATCTTCATCATTGGTGCAATTCTCCTTCACGAAAAAAAAGACAAAGGCAAAGAGGAGCGGTGTGCCGAAGGGGAGTGGTGCAATTCTCCTTCACGAAAAAAAAAGACAAAACAAAGAGGAGCGGTGTGCCGATGGGGCGGTTAACTTCCCCGTTAATGCGATCAGCGCGAAACACGGTTTTAAAACATTTTTTTCTGAAAATTCTGGACACCTTCTCAAAATTCTGCGTAAAAGATGTGATGACTTGCCTGTAGTTTTCTTGTCACCGCCACTGGGAAAATTTTTTGCAAAATACGACCAGCCCCTCTCCCCTTCACCCCCTCCCATTTCCTATTCTGGTGCAGCCCGCAGCTTTCTCATTTCCCATCGCCCATGCTACCCCTCCTGAATTTTCGCAACTTCCTACCACTTCTCCTTATTTCTTTTCCCAAAAATTTCTACTTTTCCCACCGAAAACTAAGTCGGGGTTGGGTGGGGCGGGGGGGGGACTTGAAGCGGGAAGCCGTCATCTCTGAAGAATGCCTAACTTGTTTTTTTTGAGAACTCAGTTCCGTAAGAGTATCAAGCCGATAAAAGTGGGCATTTCGCCATCCTCTCCTTCCTACAGAGCTAAAACTGAATGGCTTTTTCGTACGGCCAAAAGGCGATGCTTCCGAAGAAGTCCCTGAGTTGGTTCAAACAACTCCACGGTTATTAATGCCGAACAAGAACCAATTGACCCTAAGGAGGGGTTAGTTGACAGCAGTTCACATTCAGCTCACCTGAATATCACCGATGACATTTCCTGATCCACCTTCACCAAAAGACGAATAACCAAACGCAATAATTAGGAATGCCAAAACATCCAGTCCGAACATGATCGGGTAGAGATCCCTACAAGCAGCTTCATAACTTTCTGTATCTCTAACGCATCACTTTAGACCATACCTGATGTAGCGGAATTTTGGCTTGAAAAGCTGTAGAATAAAGCGCACAATAGGGTTCCTGCCTGCGTTTGGATCCCCTTGCTTACGACCCGGCACAGCAACATTTGCATCCGCTCCAGCTTCAAGTCTACCTCCTTCTGAAGATTATGTAATCAAGAAGCCAGAGAATAATCGTACAAATGAAAGATGCATGGATTTGGCCTTAAAGGCACATTCCCTGATGGCAGTTTGTTGGAAGTGGAGTACATATATGAATTCGCAGGTGCTACGGAGAAGGTTTTACCGGTCCACCAGTAAAAAGGAAAACAAAAGAATTTGTTGAAAACGCCAAAATAAGGCCCATGGGACTTAGCGATGGGAAAAAACTGTGATGAGCAGGAAGGCAGACACGCACAGCGGCGCGGGTGAACACATTCGAATCAGCAGTGAAGGTGAATTTCTAAACTCCATGGGTGGGGCTACACTGAAGAGGACGGGATTAAAGCTATGTCACAATTCCCTGTCGCTCTTACTGAGCTTTTGGATGCCGATGTTCTAGATAATGTGCAGCTCCGGACTTTCACCTCCTACACAGGAAAGGGGTTTTATCTAACAGGTAATCGCGTAATGTATCCTACGTGTTGCGAATAAAGCCCGGAGAAACAGAATGGACATAGAGATAGCGTTCCAACCTCCAGGTTTGGCAGTTGCTCGGGTTCCAGATGGTGCTGCAGCAGCCATTTCCACATCCGATTGTGTTTTAACAGCTTCCAGTGACTTGGCTTTGTTCGTAGGGTGCTCGGCTGACTCTTGGGTTGGATGTTCCGGTGCAGACTTATCTTTGCTGGTCTTCCTCTTCGCTTTTCCGTTACGGATATCACCACTTGTTTGGGGTCTTTGGTCCTGAAAAAAGACTGCGTATGAGTTAAGAATCTTCAATAACTTGGGGAAAAGAAAATAAAACCTAACTGAAAACTGCGTTAGACGAAAGGATGTCATAGGGAATCAAGCGGAAATCTAGTGCAAATTTCGAATAGTGAAAATGATACTTATCGATGGTTAGCTTTCAGCAGCAGTCTTCTTAAGACCGTATGGTTACGGTAACTACCATGCAGGGGAAAGCAACACTACAAATACACCGCATTGAAAGCGCATTCATGCTTCGCGATCGGATCACTTGGATCTCACGAAGTATGAACGCGATCTGATACATACCGCAGCCGGAGTTGAGGAGCCCATTTGGCGCTGAGAGTTGAACAGATGCGAGAGGCCAATCTTGCGCCAAGGCTAGGAATGTCGCAAAGATAACATTATTAGCGGCAATATATCACAAAAGTCTTCGACAGTCACTGCAGGAATTTCGCTCATTCACGGCTTCTGCGTGAATAACTCTTAGAGGTTATTATGGGCTTTCAAGACATCCCAGCGGCTCGAGCAATTCCTCGCGGGCGTCCTTCCTTGTACAAGTATTCTGACTCTCAATCTCTAGAATTATCCCCTTTTCACAGCTCCAAAGTAAATGCCGAAATTGTGGCTCTCATAAGTGGCACCCCTGACGCCTCCCTCGTTGTACCGCCCACCGGAAGTCAAACACTTTTTTTCGTCACAGTTCAGCTTCTAACCTTGTTTTTTTACTGTCAAACTCTTTTGCCATTGAATGACGCGAAGTAACAATGAGAGAACAATGAAGGGGCGCTAGGGAATCGCTTTGCTGGAATGAAACGAGCAGCCCCGATAAACTCGTCCAGAAAGGCTACCAGGTTCTCACTTAAGCTGTTTTTCATTTCTTTCGCTTTCTTCTTCTCTGGATAGCTTTTGGCAATTACAAGTTTGTCATTGAGCGCCACTATGCGCAATATACAACCGCAGGGTTTGCCCTTGAAGGCAGTTGGCACGATAAACCCCCCCCTAAATCTCCCCCACGACGAGTAGGATTAATACGCCTGGCAGGACGGAATTCCGCGACCCTGAGCAGGCGCTGCATAATGCCTTTTCCAAGGGAGGTGTCCTTAAGGGCCCTATCAAGCCACAACACAAGCCACATCAAGCCAAACGCCCGCCACACGCCCGCCCGCCCACAAATGGACGACCGTTCCTGACGCTCTAATCGATTCATTTGCTAAGCAAATTATGAAGCGAAGGGATTGGTATGAAGCGGCCGTGATGCTGCATGGATATATGAGTACACATATGCAGCCGTATCTTCGGTAGCGGTGATGGTAAGATGCCTACGGGAAACTCGTCCGAAATCGATTTTAAGTCACTGAGTAACGGAGGCTGCTTTCTTCGCAGGATTTTGTCGTCCAGCTCCGTTCTATTCGGCAGTTCCCCACTCCTACACTAACGGCCGCTACTGAGCATTTAGGTCAGAGTGGGAAACCATCGTGCCAGACTGCCTTCAAGGGCCCTTGCTCTGTAAAAAGTATTGCCTTAAAGAGCAGCCGCATTGCTTACATAGAAAACATTTCCGCAGAAAGGTGCCCTTAACAGCAAGAATCGTGCCTGTTTCCCTGTAGTCGGAACTGACGATAACAAGTGTAAGTTCGACAAATAGCCGCGCCCCCAACTCGGAAAGAAGTGAGGAATTTGAAGAATAAATGACAAAAAGTGCGACCAAAACGTTCATCAGAAGGACCAGTAAATGAGAAAACCTTCCATCTGGCATAGCCCTGATAGACCTAACACCCTCCAGATCCGAAGCACATAAAGACAACTTTGAGGTGAAGAAATTGCCTACCACTCTCAGATGAACATGCATGCTTCCCACGTCTATACCGAGCCAAAATAAGGATACAGGAACACTTAATTGCGAAGATGGGGTTCAAAAGTCACACCCTCCAGATAATCTCCACACTGCCCACTCCTTATCACGTACCGACGTCGAATTTTGGAAGTTGACAGTACAGATTCGCATCCCTGAAAAATAAGCACAATGAGACGGAATCTGAGCGATCTCTTCGATCGAGAACTTTTGTCGAGATACTACCATCCGTTCTCCATTGATGCTTGTCAGTCTATAAACTGAGGCCTTGGGTAAGAAGAGTAAGGTATCTTAGGGAAGGTCCTGGCTACAAAATCATAAATCACATAGCGTGAGTTGATTAACTACCGAAGCGAAAAGCAAAATGAACAGTCAAAAGTTCTCTAAATAAGATCACTGTTGGCACTAGGCATTACGCGGTCACAAGGCGAAAAGACTGTGAACGTGAATAGAGAAACACTCAACGAAATGGAGAAAAGAATGCAAACGAGCAAGACCCTACCGTATACAGCGATTGTAAAATGAACTCATGAAGGTGGATAACTGTCAACCGACACTTGTCAATGGGTGTGTCAGTAAGGCCGGCCAGCTCGTTTTCAAAGAGGAGTTGAAGTGGGTATTCGATAGCATATGGTGAGGACGACTCAAGCGAACGACATAATACAGTCTTGTCGCTTGCTCGCTCCAACAACCGGGCGAAAACGCGTTCGGTGCTGCTCCAAATTACACGCCTTTGCACACGCAGCAGATAAGACTGTATCTACATTCTGTGTAGCGGCCACTGCACCAACGGCAGTAAATAAAAGGTCAAAGAAAATAAATTAAATAAAACGAAAAACTGCTTAGTCACCTTCCAGAGTCCCAACTTTCTCAACATATATCTGTGGAAAAACAAAGCAAACAGCAGAGGGACGTCAAAGGCCGCAAAATTCGATTGCCGTTGAACACCCAACACCTGAAAATCATGAATCCGTCGAGCAGACACATACGATGAAATATAACTTCAGAAATACAAATAGATGGCTTATTCGTAGAACTCTCCCCTTGACTTAAAACAGATGGAAGTTCAAAGGATCATTACAATGGGAGCTCTTCAAAAGTACGAACCTTCTCTGCTGTCAAAGGATTTGCCACTTGCTTTGACTGCGTTGAAACGCTGTTGAACTCGAAAATGGTGAACTGACAAACGAACTTCGTCACAATCTGAAATAATCGATCAGTATATAACTTTACGGCAACAGTAACAACTGCACAACCCAAAGTTACCCCAACTAAGCCCCATCTCAATCCGTAACAACTGCCCTATGAACACGCAACTTCACAGAATACACTTCTCAGAACATCTTTTTCTTGATTTGTTTAAGCAGCTTATGAATCAGTGAAACCCGGCTGGTTCAGAATGTGGTTAGACTTCTACAACCCGAAGTTCTTTTTCGAAGGCACGGTTCGCGAACGCCTGTGCAGATGCCTTCAATGGACAAGGTATTTCGGTCCACAAGTACAGAGAATGTATCGTCAATTTTACTTGAAACAATGACCAGGACTCTGGGCCGCTGCGATGATGACAGTGCTCCGCCCACTGTGAAAGGCCACGCCCTTCGCTCTTTCCATCCCGAGGGTTTGCGGTGCCTGCCAGGCAGTGTTCGTTCTCCACCACACCCACAACCTATGAACGCTGAACTCTCCGTCAGCCTACTAATGGTTAGACCGGATCCAACCTATTTTTGAACCCCGCCTTACTCTTTGAAGTTAGAGAGCGGGTCAACACATCTATGGTGGCTGGCAACAGGGTTACGAGGGGCTTGAAGAGGGATGTTCCGCGACTTACTGATTAAAGGTGAATTCGCTGTGGACTCGAGTTTACTGGTGCCAGGAAATACAATTATTTCGCATACGTCGCCATAATATGGACCTATTGACCATCCGTATCGCAATGACAGAGACCCCTCAACAATGGAGAAACTATAGCGAATAATATATACTCACCACAAATTCCGTGTACGCTATCATTGCTACCCAGAAAAACTTGCTTGGTCGTGGATTCGACAGAGTTCCCCATAAGAATCATCAACGGCAAGAAGGGTGATAAAGCTCGAAAAGCTTCGCTCTCACGAGCTCTTAGATTGATCTCGCTCACATAAATTGCTACTGGTTACCTGTCCTCCAATAGCAGTGTGCAAGTACGCGCAGAGGACGTAGCCGCAGGAGATCAGCTCGTTCGCCCAGCCGCACAGCGCTGCGCAACCGCGTTCGTCCACCCGCTACCCCAGCACTCGCTGCCCGCCTTGCCTTGCCCCACCCTCCAGCTCGACCACGCCCCGCCCGCCCGCATTCATTTCTGCAAAATCCACATCACCGCGCTGCCCCTTCGTCCTACGGCCCCTATTACCGGTTCTCTCGTCCCTCACCGCCTGCAATGTCTTATTCGATTGTAACCAGCACAATTTATCAGTGATTCACCTACCGATGGGCGATTCAGCAGATGTAGCGGATGTATCCGAAAGCTTGACTAAAAGAGAGTTGTCCTTTTGGCACGCCATTCAGCAGTGCGACAATCGCAGACTGACTTTGCGTGTCGGGCAACGTTCAGACTTCGCGATGACGTGCTGAGACGCGCGGCACCGCGTGTCGATACGCTACGATAGCAACAGCGCTCCAGTGCTTTACCCCTGAATGCAGCCAATAAGATGGGCGCCGGCTACCACTGCCCGAGGGGGTATTGGGAGAATAGGAGGGCACGCGTTGCCTAACCTTACATTTTGGTATCGAACGGCGCCGTCCGCTTGTGTTTCGGGAGAGTATCAGAGAGTACCAGACTGTGTGAGGGCAGCGCCTACTTACCTGTTATTCTACACTCCCTCGAAACACAAGCGAACAGCCCCGATCAATAACCTTCTGCGGCTGCATTCTCTCACAGAGCATCGGAGCGCCTTTTTAATAGCACTGCGTCAACGCGCGTTGCATCACGTCATCGCGAAGTCTGAACGCTGCCTAAGTGACTGATCGAATTACCTAGACCACTGGTCTAATACTACACCTCATTACCATTAGGGAACAAGTACCTGACTGTGTCCTTCTTTCAGCTTCTCCTTTTCTTTGCTCAAAACATATGCCACGTAACGATGCTCTCTTGAGAGGCGGTTAAGGTTGCTGCTCAGCATATCGATGGCATTTGTAGCCATTTTCAGAGCAAACTTACCCAGGGATATGAGCATGGAGTCTGAAAAGAACAGATTACTGCCGCCATGAAGCTTTGTGAAAAAGTAAAAACTAGGTTTGAAGTTCCGCAGCAAAGCCCTTTAGACCAGATCATCTAAATGTTCATTTATTTACTTTCCCGTTTTCCCACTCGACGAGGAGGCACAGAAGGCAAAAGGGCGCATCTCGGCTAGGGGGAGGGAGCTTTGTGCTACTTTAGCTGTACCG